GCAATATACGGGGTCGAAATGGCGTCCGTAGACCGTTTTCATTACAGTATGTATTGCGGTTTTACAGCATCAATTCATGAATTCAAAACTTCTGCGACATCGAAATAGTCTCGTGCGTAAAACTCTAGCAGCATTTGTATATTCACAGTATGGTCTCATTATTCCACAATATACGTATTTTAATTTCGTACACTGCATTCGAAATCACGATTCACAATATACGTTTACAAAAAAATGTTAATAATTATGGGGATTATCATAGGAAATATTCATAATTTCACATTTACACTTTGTGAAATTGCATCGATTTCTCAATATCAGTTATTGTTCTAATAGGCCATTAAAATGGTATTTATAAAAAAATCGAGTATTCGGCTTTTCTACGCTTTTATATGTTTTTGGGGTTGCTGAATCTGAATCTTAAGTTTGCGAATGAAATTTCCTGGAGCGTTCTGAGGTATCCGCCAAAAACATTAATTTTTGCACTCTTTTCAGTTATATTTGCCCGCAGCGAAAACTTTATTTTACAGAAGAGACCACTCTATAAATAGTTGAAGTAGATGAAATTTTATATGTATAATTGCCCACGATCATGGATATAGGACTATCGCGTGAGGAGCTAGAGTTGAAAATGGATCGAATTTGCGTATTTTGCAAACAAATGTATTCTTCGTCGGTTCTCGTGGATATTTTATAATCTAGAAGAAATAAACTACACTGACTGATGTGGAGGAGTCCTGGCCATGTGAGTGATTGTTTTTGTCAGCGGCTAACTCGATTCTTGATTTGTCACAGTACTTATTACTATTATTAGGTATATTTACATCGGCTATAGGTAGAATGATGTTTTTCAGGCCGCTTATTATTCGTTAGCAGAGGGAAAAGAACAAGTTCCTTCCGTGTACCACCAGACAGAGGATGACAAACACGATCTGCTCTACCTGCACCATCACCACCACCAGAACCGGATCCTTCAGGGTACATGTCCCCCGCCAAACGATTATGTAGCGATGATTAGACCAAAGATTATAGAGATTAACCTCATCTATTTGTCTTCAATAACCCTAGACTTTCTGATGGATCATAGGATTCTCTTGATGATTGAATTTTCCACCTCTGCAGGCGTCAGGTAGACCTGCTGTTTGAGGCGATCCAGCCTTTAGCGGACATTGCATGCATAATCAGTCACGTTGTGACGAATGCGGCAAGTTCAAGTCTCCATTAGGGCCATTCTTTCAGTAATTCCACGAAGGACCGTGCTCTGGCTTTTGCTGAGAATCAGTAATTGTTGATGACCTTGACGTTGACCTGGAATTGCTCACCGAGGCTTTCTCGTCCTCTTTCAATTTCTTGAGCTTTGCGATAAGATGACATTTGCTTGTTTTTCAGACAGTTCCAGGACCAAATAATAAAGACAATGCACCTTCTTCTGCTAGGCGATCAGATGGCTTATGCCTTGGAACCCATGCACATAAGCGAATATTGATTTCAATATTCAATTATCATAAAATGAATAATTTGATAGTTTGAATGGTTATTATCCGATTTTTATCAGAGTCTGCGGAGGACACTCCCAACAAACATTTTAGGTATAATATACGTCATTTCGACCTTAGAATAGGTCAACGACTTATTTGGCCTAAGTGAATATTACGTCTTATTTACTCAAAATTTACCAATATGGGGAAAAAACTGGAAGTAATTCAGAAGACGAGAAAAGGGATATTAGGGTATCCTGACCAATAGGTCGAGGAAACAATTAGGTGAAATTGCCCTAATTCTAGTCCGATAGTGGTCTGATTTTAGTTATTCTGACGTTATTCATTACCTACTTATGGGTGGGTTTACTAAGATTTCTACCTGGTTTACTGTCGATTGGTTGGGTTCGGAAAACAAATATGTACCGTGTTTCACGATCGACTATACCTACTCATTTACGTGTGGAGACTTAGTAGTTTATGAACATGGCGTTCGAAAGAAAACTCGATAGTAGTGGAAGGTGTAGATAATATGCATGTTGTTTAGCTTATTTGAGGTTGTTGTGAATCGTTATTCAACCTGCGATGCAAAATTTATTGTGATAATGTTGATTTTACACATGTAAAATTAGTGGGCCCACGAAATTATTGGATTTGTAGGAAAATACTGGATGATATTCTGTGTGTTTTCGAATTATTTTTCAACAATTCCATCTAAAAATGAATCAACTGGTAGAATATGATCATATATGCGAAATTTAACCTTTTCTGTATTACTATTCATTAGGATGTGGTCGCTATGTAGAGATTTCTTCTTTTTCCGTCAATGGCGAAAAAGGTTCGAGCCAACAAATATGGCGTCGGTTTCATATTGGACTTGAAAGTCGAATTTTCCAGAATCTTCAACTTTCAGGGCGAATAGGCTTCGTTCATAGTCGAAAATTCTGTATATTCTGACTATGGAGCCCAATTTCCCCATATTGGGATTTTAGACTATATCAACGAGTATATTATTTGAGTAGCAGTCAACCTGATGGATTAATATTATCAGATGTTCCCTATAATCATATAATTTGTCAAATGTTCGTTGTTCGCCTTCAATTTCTTATTCTGCACCACGGTATGTTTTCTAATTGGTCGCTGGATGACAGGCTTCATTCTTCAGCGAATCAGAAAAGTCCATCGCCGTGTTGTCATCTCTCAAACAGTGTTGCCGTTCTAGTATACTTTTAGTACATTTGCCATTTTTGTACGTTCTCAACCGACTTTATGATCGTTTATCAAGTTAGAATTTGGTAAATTTCAACTCCAATGAATATCCTGATAGTTCGGGGGCCTGGAAGACATTTTACTGGTGATTTTGATGTTAAATATTACCTAATTGATAACTAAATGCTCACTAGGACCATGAAGTTATGTTTGAAGTCTGTAATGAGTAGTTTCCAACTATGCAATTTGTCTATAAAGTTGATGGATTTTATAGGAAATGTTGAGGTCCTAACCAGGTATTTTACAACCTAATCCATAACTTTCAAGTTACTCAGGGCATAAAGGTAAAATATTTTGTCGGAAATTAGTAAATTTCGACTTCTTCGAGTAATTTCTCCTCTCTGCTTGGTATAATTCTCTTGAAATGTTGGTTGGGACTTGAATCAATGAGAATTATTTCAATGCAATTTTATACCAACTAAAATTCCAGCGTTCAGAATGATCTCGTCCTTACTACGAAGCATGCAAAAACAAAACTATGAACATGTCAGAGCATCTCAAAATATAGTAAAAGGTGAATCAATGATGGAAATAAGTAGATGGTGTACTCAACTCTTGTTCCAGAAATCCTTCTGGACCTCTCGAGAATAATAGTTCCGCAGATCTTCTAATAGATGGCGACATTCCACAATTATGATATCTGCCAATTTCCAAATTACCGCAGATTCTTCGAATTTCGAGTGAAATAAACCCACTTTTATCTATGTTTGGCGTACTTGGGATGCCATATGTCATTGTATTTTTTCTCGTCAAACTCGTCACAACAGCAGTAGCAGCATAACCATCTAGTGGAGAAAAGTAGATTCACCGTATCGCTCGATGTGACGTAGAGAAATCATATTAGGCATTCGAGTGATTGTTCTTAAGTTTTCAATACGTAAAAACAAGTGAACAGAATAAACTTTAGGGTGTCAACCACGACCAGCGTAGGTCTCCGAGCGGGCCAGGTAGCCGTGCGGACAGAGTGTCCATATTCTAATCCGCATTCGCTTGCCAATCGTGGGTTCGAGTCCCGTCGACTGCAGACATTTTTCTGATGGCCCAAGAAAGTGTTTGGGATCACACGTTAAAAGGTAAGGCCCCCGTAATTCCTTGCTCGCACAAGACTCTCGAAGACTTCTGAGGGTTGCTCGTAAGGGGGCAACCGAATGACGGATAGAACAATTTTAGAACAATTTCAGTGTTTTCTTGATAATACGTAGATTATGAATTATCTCTGTCTATTTTTCAACTTGTTCTAGCTCCCTACTTGCTAGTCCATTAACCAAATGCAAAAATAATGTATGTAATGTACTAATCCATCGATGGCTGACTCACCTATAGCCCTGCTGAGGTAAAAAACTCAACTGTCAAGAAAATCCTAGGTTTCACCAGGAGTGTGGGGTTAAAGATGACCATTATTAGATGAGGGTAATCCTTACAATCTACAATCTAATCTTCGCCACATCGTCATGCAGCATAGGGCTGGTACCCTGGAGGATCCAGTTCCGGAGACGGTGATATTGCAGGTGGAGAAAGATTGTGTTCGTTCCAGGGTACTCTCATCCTCTATCTGGTGATATATGAGAGGCACTTGTTTTTTTTCTCTCCGCTAACGAATAACAGACAGAAGGTGTGGAACTCATTATTCTACCTGGTTGAAGAAAATATTCCTAGATATTTGTGACAATACAAGAATCAAAGTACATGGCCAGGACTTCTCCACATCAAGCAGTGTAGTTTGTTCCTTCTTGAAATGCGTAGATTATGATTTATCTAAGAGAACCAACAGAGAACACTATTTTTTTGCAAATTTGCAAACTTTCACCTTGCTCTAGTTCCTCACCCGTTGGACCTAGATTCATGAGCCGCAACAACTAAATATGGAAAATGTCATGTATTTCAACTGTTTCTGGAAAAGTTTTTTTGCTAAAATTTATAGTTGAAGAGTCACGGGTGAGAAGAATTGAAAAAAGTGCGATATTACATTGTTTTTTGCGAATATCTCGGAACGTTCCAGGGAATATTGTTTGCAAACTCTGGATTCAGATTCAGAACCACTAAAAACATATGAAACCGCCAAGAAACCAACAACTTGAATTTCTACCATTAGAGAATTTTTATCGTAATCGTTTAACTGAGCTATAATTAGGATACATAATTCCATTAGCGGTTTTAAAGCAAATATTATTTTCGAATTTGGTTGGTCACTAGCTATTTCTTTATAGTTATCAGATTCTCTACATGATCGAATTCAACAAAGTGAAATTTCAGGAGTTGATGTACATGGTGACAGAATATTTGTATCGATGCCAAAGTGGAAGACTGGAGTACCAGCAACACTAGCAGTGCTGCCGAGAGTGCCAAGGGAACTGTCTCCGAAGCTTGTACCTTATCCAAATTGGCAATGGCATCAAACTGGTAAGTAATAAAAGTGTATTAGTGAATAAATGGATGAGTCTTCCTAAGTAACTTGATTCATCCATCTTTAATCCTCCGTTGAACTTCAGATTGAACTATCAAACTGTTTTTCAAAAACAGGAAAACTCGATGCTCTTGGCGAAAAAAGAAAAATGTTTCTTAGATATATTGTTTTTCCTAACTTCGACATGTAATTTGACCCTTTTCAAAACTGACGAAGGATATGGACGTCTTACTTCACGTAACCATTTTGCGTGAAGTGAAATATTACGTAACTGGTGATGAAATATTGATTTCAACACCAGTTACCCAATCAAAATATGGATGGCGAACAGTGTGGTGCATTTTGTGATGCTTCCTTGATATCGCTCGAAAAATATGAACTTGAATCAGCCATTTTCCACTCATAGAAGGATCAAACAGGTCTCTACTCTTTGAAATTCGTCGCTGACAATATTATTGTTTGACAAATACTTTGCGGAATCTTGCTTCGCTCATCTCGCAAAATCCCAAAGATATACAAAATGGGGCGATTCCTAACTGGTCACGTGATAGATATTTACGATACAAGCATCGTGAAGATATGAGACGGGAAATTTGTCCATCGAGGCCGAAGGCCGAATTTGATAACATGTCGACTTTCGTTATATGAATTCACGATACGAATATCGTACAAAATTTTACCTACTACCAAGAAAACGCTGATTATTTAATCAAGAATAGATAAATATTCCTTGAATTAGAGATTCATTAGGAATAGGTAACAAGCGAGCCTTGCAAGATTGGACTTACTTGTGGAACCGTGCTTATGAACCTAGTATGTTCTCGGTTGTCACCTTGTTGTCACTCATTGTGCGAACTGTCAACTTTGACGCGTTCATTTCAACCAAGATGAAGTTATTAATGTACCGACTGCGTTATACAGGGTGTTTCATGAGAAGACTCACATAGCCAAATGGTAAATGGGGGAAATCAATACGAGTTGATGTATACAGGGTGATTCAAAAGTAAGCGGCATCCTTTCAGAGGCGTATTCCTTGCTTGAAAATAAGGCAAAAAGTTCCTATTGATAAGGATCCGAAAATGCTTCCTAAGGGAGCTACGGCCCTTTGAATAGGACACCTCAAAGACGGTTTTTTCTCTATAACTTTAAAATCCTTCACAACAAATTTTTAAAAATTGGTGTACGGCATAAACATTCGATGGTAAATAGGACTCCGTATTCGAAATTTCAGAATTTCATTCAGGGGCGTCACATGCGGGAGAGGGTAAGTGTAAAAATATCCCTTCTTCTCCGGATATTCAGGTTACTGTGATTTCGTTTGGAAATTATTTCGAATACGGAGTCCTATTTACCATCGAATGTTTATGCCGTACACCAATTTTTAAAAATTTGTTGTGAAGGATTTTAAAGTTATAGAGAAAAAACCGTCTTTGAGGTGTCCTATTCAAAGGGCCGTAGCTCCCTTAGGAAGCATTTTCGGATCCTTATCAATAGGAACTTTTTGCCTTATTTTCATGCAAGGAATACGCCTCTGAAAGGATGCCGCTTACTTTTGAATCACCCTGTATATATGAAAACATTTTTTGACCCTCCATAACGAAGATACAGGGTATTATGTGAAATTGCTTTGACTTTGATGGCCGATATTACAGAAATGATTCATCTTAATATGCTGAAATTTGGTGGCGACGTATCTCTACTGAAACTATTCGTGATAACATATTATGAAAATAAATATCCAGGTCCGGACTTTGAAAAATTTTATGTTTCATTGTTATGTCAAAAAAGTTCACTTTGTGACCACTTTTCTCGAAAAAATCCATCAGATTCAGAAAGATCAGGCAAAACGCTATAAGAACTGCTCTTCAATTTACATGGCACACTTCGACCAGTTCAATAAAAAAATATGGAACAACATCGTTCGAATGAATTTTATATTTCGACTTGGCTGATAACTGTCAACTTTCAACTGGGTATCATGTGAATTGATTTTCATTCCATTTTTGTTGAATAGTAATTGACAGAAGAATAGACGAGAAGAAAAAACACGATATTTTATTATCGAAATTCCAGATAGGTATTATTATTCCTGAATTTGTTTTATGGATTTCAATTGAAGTAATGATAAGATATCTAGTAGGCCCTGTTCTTCATTTGTGTGACCAGACGTGACGTTAGTACTAGGTAGGTAACAACTGGTGAAATTACGACATGAGGATTCATGTGCCCATATTACGGTGATTTATTGAATTAGTCATGCCATCACGCATAAACTTCGCTCCATTTTTCGTTATTAATACACTTCTGCAAATGATAAAGGGAAGCATTTGCTATTTATTCAACATTCCAAACGTTCATCCTCGTTTTACTGCAACGTATTCATGGGTCTGGAAATATTCTATGGTATTAAACATAGTATAGCATTTGGATTGTCGTCTTGTTCAGCATTTGAAATATGCAGTGGCACCTAGAGTGCAAGAATATCTCGGTACCAGTGTTTACCTATCAACAAACGCCACCTTACATAAAATAAAAACAGGGCCTACTTTATAACAAATTTATAAAATAGATCCACTAGTAATCATATCTATCTGGAAGTTCGGTCGAAAACTAACATGTCAAACCATGAAAAAATCAGAACTACTCTCTTCTGTCAATTTTTATCCAATGAGAATGTAGAAAAATATCAATTCACACGAATTCAGTTGAAAGTGGAGAGGTCAAAATTCAAAATTTATTGGAACGATTTTGTTCCATAATTTTTTATTGAACCGGTCAAAGTGTGCCGTGTGAATTTATGGTCAGTTTTAATAGCATTTTGTCTGATCTTCCTGAATCTGATGAAATTTCAGCAGATTACGATAAATCATTTCTGTAATATCGGTCATCAAAGTTATAAAGCAATTTCACATTATACCCTGTATCTTTGTTATGGAGGGTCAAAAAATGTTTTCATATAAACTACTTACCAGATGAAGTGGGACAGCCAAAAAATTATCTAATTTTGATATGCTATAACTCGAACATTTCTTGGCCGATGTTGGCTTTTCAACCAAAGATAGAAAGCGTCATCCTTCGGCTATGCGTCATTGACGCCGGGTTTTTATTTTTGCGATTCGTTCTCTTTGTACAGAGTGTGAATTAAGAGCCGGAAAAATTTCAAATGTTTGACCAATAATTTGGGAAATGTGAGGGACCCTAGAAATATTTTTCAGATGTTGGCTGAATGGTTGGACCGATACCTCGAGATGTCTTTGAAATTTTTTGGATAAATTGCGTTGCTATGGAAAAATCGACATTTTATGAAATTTCATTTTTATTCCAAAATGTGGCCTCTTTTGGTTGAACATCAACAGCCAACATCTAAACTGGAGCAAGGGATATCTCTACTGAAGATTATCAACACCAGTGGCGCGGAAAAGGGGTTTATGCTCGGGTTTATGATACTTGGAAACGAAAAATTCGTTTTTATTGATAAAATTCAACAGTTTCATTGATCGTTACAGTTGGAGAGGTGTCATATCCTCAATTTGCATGTTGTTGACAAATTCAGAGGCGCGCAAAAAAAGGGTTCATGATATTTAGAAACGACAAAAACAATTTTATTGAATAAAATCAACAGTTTTATTGATCGTTACAGTTAAAAAGTTGTCATACATTCATTTAGCATGATATTGACCAATTCAGAAGCGTGCAAAATTGGAAAATCAGAATTTTGGTCTCATTATCTTTGTTTTTTTACTTATTCATGGTGGGCATCCTAGTAATCCATTGGCGTATTAAAGAGGATCCATCATCAGGACGATTCAAAAAGTTTCATATGGAAACATTTTCATTAATTTCTTCAAGTGTTGTTCTTTGTTCCCCAGTAAAAATTTTCTTGTATCATTATTCATGAATGAAAATTCAAAAACGTAATTCTGGCTTCCGATGTTTCTCGAGCCGTACAATTTCATAATTTTATCAAAAAATCTTGTTGATTTTTTTCAATAAAAACGTTTCTGTCGTTTCTAAATATCATAATCTCTTTTTTGCGCACCTCTGAATTTGTCAACATCATGCTAATTAAGGATATGGAACCTCTTCAACTGTAACGATCAATAAAACTGTTGAAGTTTTTCAATAAAAACGATTTTTTTGTTTCTAAATATTATAAACCCCTTTTTGCGCGGCACTGGTGTTAATTATCTTCAGTAGAAATATCCCTTGTTACAGTTCAGATGTTGGCTGTTATTGTTCAACTAATACACGCCACATTTTGAAATAAAAATGAAATCACATAAAATGGCGATTTTTCTATAAAAACGCAATCTATCAAAAAAATTTCAGAGACGTCTCAAGGTATCTGACCAACCATTCACCCAACATCTCAAAAAGAATTCTAGGGTCCCTCACATTTCTCAAATTATTGGTCAAACATTTGAAATTTTTCCGGCTCTTAATTCACACTCTGTACAAAGAGAACGAATCGCAAAAATGAAAACCCGGCGCCAATGACGTATAGCCGAAGGATGACGCTTTCTACCTTTGGTTGAAAATCCAATATCGGCCATGAAATGTTCGAGTTATAGCTTATCGAAATTAGTCAATTTTTTGGCTGTCCCACTTCATCTGGTAAGTAGTTTATATACATCAACTCGTCTTGATTTTCCCTATTAACCATTTCGCTTTGTGAGTCTTCTCATGAAACACCCTGTATAGATCTTTACGCCCGAAGGGTAACAATCACCCAAGGGCCTTCGGCCCGAGAGATGAATGCTGCCCGAAGGGCGTTAGGATCTAGTAACGCCCCTGGTGCATACAAGATTTTAGTTCTCCTGAACGACGTTGTTTGCTTCATGAATTTATTCTTAAAGTATCAACTGCGTTCTGGTCGGCAACTGAGCATAAGTGAGCTTCTATGCAGTGTTGGAAGGTGTACAAGTATTATTTTTCATAAGAGGAGCTCCAGATGAACTTCTCTGCTACATAAAGTTTTCCTGGTAATGGGTGTTTTTGACGACT